TCTTTAATTTAGTCAATTAACCCGGCAGTTTAAATGTGAGCTTTTCATTAAATCATAGAGAATAGTTATTGTTTTGATTTTTTTTTAATTTTGCTTCAAAGTTGTTTGGTGGAAGATTTTTAAAATGATTATGCATGAAGATCATGTGCTGAAATCTGTTTATTTTATATATATTCAACATTTTCATTTCACTCATTTATGGCTTTGCATGTTAAAATTTTTTCAGTATATTTTTTCATTATATAATTCTGCTCGCATGTTTTTACACACTAAATATCATTTTTAGATTAGCCAGCTGTGTGCTAGCCCGCGCAATGTTACCATAATTAATGTAGCTATGAATTAGGCTAAAGCGTATTAATTTAAGACTTTGAGTATTTATGAATGGGCTAATTCTGTGCACTATGCCAATTTTTATTTTTATTTTTGATTCGATGTATTTTATGTGAGGAAGTCAAGATAAGTTTTTATTTACAGAAATTTCGAGGTTGTTTAAAAATTCCTGCTTCTTAATTTGTTTATCATTTATTAAGAGGGCAGGTAACTCCAGTGTCAGATTTTCTTCTTGTGTTTTCTTAACAAAATAATCTATATTTAGTTTTATCTGTGTTTATTGAGCGCTTGTTAGCTCTAAACCATTTATTTACTTTAATAAATTCAATATTCATATCTCAATATAGCTGATTAATATCATTATTGGACCTAAATAAATTAGTATCATCAGCATACATAATTAAATATCATTTTACAGATACTTTACATAAGTCGTTCATATAAATAAGAAATAGGAGACGGCTGAGGATTGAACTTTGTGAAACTCCACACAAAATGTTTAATGTACTAGAATCTGGATTGACTACATACTGTTTTCGATTAGAAAAATAACTTTTAATCCAACTAAATGTTTTTTTTGTTACAACATATTAACTTTTCTAAGCTTGTCAGCTTTTTACAGATCTATAAATATTTAAAGTGTGAACTGATTTTTTTCAAACCCGTTGGTTATTTTGTCAACTAACTCAATAATTGCATGCTCGGTTAAGGTAATTTTTTGGAAACCAAAATTTTTGGGGTAAAAAGGTTTATTTTTTGCAAAATTGACATAAATTCTATATACATAACGCGTTCAAATATTTTTAAGAAAATGGATAATACGAATATAGGTCTATAATTTGAGATATTGTAACTATCATTGCTTTTATAAATTGGGTAAACCTTAGCTAATTTTAATATATCAGGAAATATGCTTTCATTTATTGCAAGTATAAGAATGTAAAACAAAGGTTTGCTGATGTTTTTACTGTTTGAAACTACTATATTAGCTGATATTCCATCAAAACCCGGAGATTCATTTATTTTTAAAGATGAGAAAGCTCCTCCTCCTAGATTTTTTTTAGCACCAGAAAAAATCTCTTTTTTATAAGAAACAAGATTATTCTTTATTCTCATATCAATAAGATCTTCATTAAAATTCAAGCCTTTGTTTACATTATTATGAGCGGTATGATATTCTGACCATTATCAGTTATATCTTTTTCAAATTTATCTAGTCTCTAAGATGAGTTTGTCATCTTTGTGTTCGCACTAATTACATTTGCAAAATTAATTTCTTGTTTTTTCATAATCGATTACGTTTCATTTTCAAATTCATCAAACATATCCTTAATCAACTTTTTTATTACCATTACTGTTACTGCCATATTTATTATTATTATTTTTTTATCATTATTACTATTTATTATCATTATTATTAAGCTTAATTTTCATAATTATAAAGCCCTGTGATCAAACAAGTATATAAAAAACTTTTGGACCAAGTTTTGTCTAACATTTAACACTAACGTCAAACCGTTTTATATGGTTAAATTTGCGAAACTTTTTTTTGCGAAACTTTTATTTTGAGAAAGTTAATCATATATTCTCTCCCTTGTAAACGTAAAAGGTCCCTATGGTATCAAATGCTGCAGTTAGATAAATGGGTTCCAGTCCAAGTGAGAACTCAGTATTTCCACCCAACCTGCACTTTTAGTTTCTTTTTCGAAATTAAAACCTGCATAAGCACGTGTTTTTCGCGAATTAAAACCTGCATAGACACGTGTTTTTCGCGGATCAGACGTAAACCAAAAACATGTGTACATTATTAGAATTTAACACGTGTTTTTTTAAGGTTTTATTTCTAACAAAATCTTGAAAATTATCATTGAAATATATTAACTAAGTGGGAGGAATTCATTGAGTTAGAGATTTACTGGTCTTTTTAAGATGCAGGAAAAGAACCAATGGGATTTATAATTACAATTAAATAAAAATCTGTTAAAAAGATAAGGAATATTACTTGATGATAATACTTGATGAAAACTTAACATGGAGAGAACACATAAGTACAATAGAAAATAAAGTTTCAAAAAATATTGGTATACTATTCAAAGCCAAGCAGTTTTTAAACCAAAACTGCCTAAAAATTTTATATTTCTCCCTCATACATTGTTATATAACTATGCAAACATTGCCTGGTGCAGCTCTAGTATAAGTAAAATTAAAAAACTGCTTAGTAAACAAAAACATGCTGTCAGAATTATTTCAAATGCAGGTCGATTCACACATACTAAAGAACTATTTAATAATCTTCACATACTCAATGTTTTTCAGTTAAACCTTTATCAAATTCTTATTTTTATGTACAAACTTCATAATAAAATATCACCTATAATATTTAGTACACTTTTCAATAAAATTAATCACATGTACCCTACAAGATTTTCTAAGTACAATTATGAGCAACCTAAAATGCATTATTTGGCTACCAAATTTTCTATTGCTATAAGAGGTCCTAAATTATGGAACGCTTTATTAAGTGACGAGCTGAAAAATTGTTCTTCTCTTTACCTATTCATAAAAAAAATTGAAACAAAAACTTATTAACGATGTTAATGAATTAAATTCTTTTTAAAAAATTTTTTATTTTTATTTTAAACAATTATCTTATTAACTCTATAAACTATCCTATTAGCTTATCTATAGTTTTGATTTTTTTTTTTTTTAATTTCTTTTTACTATTTTCTTTTGATTATAGATTAGTAACTAGTCTTAACATACTTGTAAATAATTGTATATAATTTTTTAAATGGCACAAAGTAATTGTATATTTAACTTTTAATGGTTGTACACGCTTGTTCATGAAAGCACGTCGGGGTGTAGTGATAAGGCAAGTATTGTCTTCTTTTAACCCCGGTCATGTAGATCTTATTTATACTACACGGCATTATATTCTTTTTTTTTACTGACAAAATAAATATATATATATATATATATATATATATATATATATATATATATATATATATATATATATATATATATATATATATATATATATATATATATATATATATAGCTGATAAATAACGATCAGTGAAGTAATATTTTTATAATTATTTAAAAGTTTGCATAACCTACAAGTAGGCATCTGCGTAAGGAGGAAAAATTACGACAACCGTGTTACCGCATATTCTCAGTTTTAAACGGTTTCATTACATTTTGTAAAACATATACATAAGCAAGTCTGTTATGAATGTTATGAATGCACAAGTTTTTCCTGCAGGAAAAAAAAGAGAAATGGACCAAAATATTAGCACATTTATTTGGAGCTTGATAGTTTTTAGCATAAAAATCTATATTTTTTATGTTAAAAACTAGAGGCCTACGTAGAGAAAATTTGTTTTTCCATTTTTAACTTTAAAAAGTTCAACGCAATGACACTGCCTCATGAAAAATTTGAAATAGAAAATTTCGTCGAAAATCTTGCTTCATTTTTTAATGGATTGACTTCTTATACCAATACAAGGCGGGTTTCACGTTCGTCAGACGTTTCCAGCAGTTTGGCCACTCATTTCACGGACGTCTCATCAAGTTTGGTCAGCCTCAAGTTTGTTTGATAATAAACAAGCATTTGCACATTTTCTGAGTCAAGTCTTGTCCAAAGGTCAGTAACGACATTACCAGCAACAGAAAACAGCCTAAAACATTTTTTTATTTTCAAAATTTGGGAAAAAAAATTCTGCTTTCTTGAAAACGTTTCTTATAAATGCTTAAAATTTAACCATTTAAACTGTCAGCAAACTAATTAGGAAGTCATACAATCTGCAGTTACTGCAGATTGTGTGACTTTCTAATTAGTTTGCTGACAGTTCAAATGGTTAAATTTTTTTCATCACATTACTGCAGATTGCAAATTAAAAACAAAATGATCTCTAGACTTCCACAATATACCGTGTAAAACCGTGTATATACCGTGTAAAACCGCAAAAATATATTCCATGTAAAATATATATTCCGTGTAAAACCGCAGTAAACCGGCCAATCCAGATGCGTAAGAAACGCAGAAGCCTACCTACAAGTAGTATTTTAATGATAAGTTTTAAAATGTAACAATGATCATAATAAGTTCTAGTTTTAAAGTTAAAAGTTGGTGAATTTTAATTTAAATTCACGCAGTGAATTTTAATTAAAATTCATGTCACACATTTAATTAAAATGTCACACAAATTTAAGTTATTTAAGTTTTGTATCAAATGCGAACAGCAAATGCAATAAACTATTGTTTTGTTTTTTCACTAATTGAAAATTTAAATTTTTCACTTTATTTGAAATAATTTGCTAAAATTGTTGTTTTTACTTTATATGCAGATAAGACTTGAAGAATTAACAGAATACAAGTCTAGTTCGACACAAGAATCTATTACATTGTAGACATTTGGTTTGATGCTCTCATGTTTCACTTTCAAAAATTTTCACCAGATTGCGCCATAAAAGATCAACTTGATAACACTGATATATCCTTTGAGCAAATTTTTATTAAGTGAAAAATTTGGTAATTTAAATAATAAGTTGTTTCTCTTAAAACTTTTTTTGGTTGCGACTTCAGTCCACCAACATATTTTTTTAACGATAGCACTTCAGTAACTTCGCAAACGAATTTAGAGTCCGAATATAGTGAAGGTGAAGACCATGCCAAAGGTGTAGAAGTGCAAACCATGTTAGTATAATTATTTTCTAATCTAATAGTTATCAAATTCATTAAAAAAAGTTTAAATTACTATTTAAATTTCGAATGCAGCAAGCATAAATGAACCAATCAAAAACTTTTTAAAGTTAACAGTGAGATTTATTTTTGAAGAATTTCAGTGTTGTTGCATTGTTGGGAGGATTTAATCAAAATTAAATTGAATTACCTCGTGTAAATTTAACACAGTTAAAAAAAACAGCTTTGTAAATAATTTTCTAATCTCCAGTCTACTTTTTGTTAAATGTTTTTTTTGTGTGTGCATATATATATATATATATATATATATATATATATATATATATATATATATATATATATATATATATATATATATATATATATATATATATATATATATATATATATGTATATATGTATGTATATATACTAAGTACTTATACTAAATAATTTTTATTATATTTTAAAAATAGAAAATGGAAAGTGTAAAAACATTACACTATGGACATATACGGAAGGTTGTATTACGCAATTGGTTTATTTGTAATTTTAGCTAAGTTTTATTTGCACAATTTGTTATTTTTTTAAGTGTTTTCACGACTGGAAGTTTAAGAGGACTGTGTTGATTGGACAATAAGTATATTTTTTGCTTTTCTTGCTGTTAAAACAACAATTAAACTAGGTGGATATAGATAAAAAAACGTCGATACGACGAACCCATATCACTTTGGTATAGCTTGCAAAGAGTGATTTCAACTTTAAGTAAGTATTTACAAAATTAACTTAAATTGTATTTTATTAATTTGTGCTTTGAGTTTTACTTCGGCATAAAATAAAGTTCATATAATATTATACAAAATATATTGAAAAAAATCATCTATATATATATATATATATATATATATATATATATATATATATATATATATATATATATATATATATATATATATATATATATATATATATATATATATATATATATATATATATATATATATATATATATATATATATATATATATATATATATTTATTGCAATAACAATATATCTATTTATTGCATTAAAATTATTAAATTTTTTAGGTCTTCAATTTTAATCACAAAAATGGCAGAGCGACCTAAGGGATATGGAATGACCGCTGAGATTGAAGAGCAGATCAACAGCAAATATGATTACGACTGTGGTTTGTTCATTTCTTTAAATTTTCATTTTTTTTTTCTAATTAATATATATGTTAATAGGTTTTTCAATAAATAAGAAAAATCATTTTAGAGAAAGAAGTTTTGGAATGGATTTCATATTACGTTCCCGATGCTGATTTAGAAAACGTATCAGGGCCTGAGGAGGTTCAGCTCAAACTTAAAGACGGAGTTATACTTTGCAAGTTAATCAACCAGCTTGCACCCAACAGCGTTCCCAAAATCAACTCCACTAATGCTGCTTTTAAACAGATGGAAAATATCAACTTTTTTCTTACTGCTTGTGAAAACCTTGGCTGTCAGCGAACCGATTTGTTTCAAACCGTTAATTTGTATGAGGGTACAAACATGGCACAAGTTTTACTTGGTATTTATGCGTTAGGAAGAAAAGCTAATAAACTTGGATTAAAAGGTTTAGGTCCCAAAGAGTCTGATAAAAATGAAAGACAGTTCACTGAAGACCAACTTAGAGCTGGAGAAGGAACAATTGGTTTACAAGCAGGGTGGAACAAAGGAGCTTCACAATCCGGACAAAACTTCGGTAAAACAAGATCAATTTTAGATTAAGTAACCTCTTGAGGTTGTGTAGAACATTATATTTCTTATTAAACTAGTAAAGACTTCATTTGTAATTTATTATTATAAAAGGAAAAATTATCTTCTTAAAAATTGCTTCCTAATTTTTTTTGTTGAGCAAACAGCAATGACGCATCTCTTAAGAGATGCGTCACTACTACTACGTTTATGTCTTCTACATTTGTGGAAAAATGCATTATTTTTATTCATTATTAATGATCTACATTTTTTGAAACAAATAAACAAACACACACTTTAAAATTAACTTTTATATATTTTATATATACCCTTTTGACGAATAAAATATTTTCACTAACATTAAAAGAGATATATCGACAGTAAAAACTGATTGAACTTTTTTTGTAATTTAATTTTGTAACAAAATTAAATGAAAAGTAAACTTTCTGACCATACGATAAGAAAATTTACATAAAATAACAACCCATACACTGGTACTTAAGGTATTCAAATTAAGACATATATCCATGCATAGACAGGACACTTATTGGACAGATTGTTATTTTGACTTCTTCAATAATGTAATGAGTGTGTTTTTGTTCATTTTAAACAATTTTATCAAATTAAATGAAACTTCATTTAATTTGAACACTAAACACCCAACATGTTGGGTGTTGCTAAACACCCGACATTTAGAAACTTAGACTTACTTTTGGTCTACTTTATAATATTCAAAAGATTTAAAAATATAAATTAAAACTCTTTTTATTAAGGGGAAGTTTTTATTTTTTAGGGAAGTAATTTTTGTTTGCTAGATTTTACGGGAATAATATCGTGTTGATTGTTGTTCAATAATTTATTTAATTTTTACACATCCCTTATGATAAATATGTGTTGGCTCAATCTTGCCTGCTGGAATGCTGGAATGGCAGTTAGTTAATAACTGACCCAACGCTAATATAAACGTGGTATTGATAAATAATATAAGTTTTAGCATATATATTTTTTTAACATTTAAAATTTAGTTTATATTTTATGAACATTTAAAAAAATTAAAATATATTTTGTTTACATCTAATCAATGATAGAACGCGTTTTACCAAAGTTTAAACCTGATTGGTTTGCATGTTTGTTTGTTCCCATTTGCAATCCGATATGACCATCTCCAGCACGCAGTTGTTCTTCAGAAAATTGTCTTTTGTTTTCCGATGCTTCTTTAGGACCGATACCATTCAAACCCTTTGTAGACGCCTTTCTTCCGAGGGCGTGTAACATAACAATGACCTATAAAGAAAATTGTTCATATCAACAATTTTTCAATCATAGAGCAATCAAAACCCGACTCTAAAACAACGCAACACTATTTCTTTTAGAATTTATTCTTATTTTAAAAAAATCGATTTTTAACAATTCAAAGCAAAATTCATCTATAAACAGTTTACAGATTTTCAGGAATTATCAATTGAAAATCTTTTAAAATTTGAATCAGTTGAATATTAGGAATTCGATTTTATGAGAGAAAGATTTTGTATTGCGAAAATAATCAGCAACTGCTTACCTGAGCCATATTAGTGGCTTCATATAAATCGACAGTTTGAAAGCTATCCGTCCTGCTAACGCCAAATTTCTCTGCAGCTGCCAAAAAATTACTTATATTTTCCATTTGTTTGAAAGCCATTTTATTAGTGTTAATGTTTTTTATGCTATTTGGTTGAAGTTTTTCCATTAATTTGCAGAGTACAATGCCGTCTTTAAGTTTTTCGTGCACTTGTGATGAGCCTGTTACGCCTTGCAGCTTAGCTTCAGGAACAAGCTTTGCTATCCACTTAAGTGCTTCTTGTTCTAAAATTGTATGTCTTAAAAATTATTTTGATATTTTTTCATTATACATCATACCAATTTAACTTTTGAACAAATTTAGCATACAATTGAACAAATTTAGCTGTGTTAAAATTAAAACTTTGCATATCATAACGTTCATATATTATTCAAAAAAAAACATTACCCATAGCTACGTCATATTTCCCTTGAATTTTGTTGCTAATTTCAGCAGTAAATCCATATCCTGATGGTCTCTCAGCCATAATTTATACTAGTTGTTATTATAACTATAAATTAAAAACTATAATTTGTTATCTAAAACTAATTATGTACTTTTAGTGAAAGTCGATGGCTTTACCTTAAGAATTTTTGTAAGAACTGTGATCTTTTTGTAACAACTCTGACCTTTCGTTTAAAAACGCTATTATAAATGCATTATTAATTTTTTAACTAAGGAAGTTGACCGGCGTTAACAAAATTGTTCCGGCCGAATTAATCAAAAAATACAACTTTATTTGTTTCATTGTCAACAAAATTTCCTAAAAAAAAACTAAAAATCTCAGTTAAAGAAAGGTAGCCATTTGCTATTCGATCAACTAGTTTCATCTTTTTAAAAACATAACACGATTATATTTGGTTTAAATGTCTGCAAGAAACAAAGTAAACACATGCAATTGTCGTCAACTTTTGTTGACTCACGTGAACGTCCTTTTGAAAAAAAAAAAGATGTTTAAGCTCTTCTTTATAAATTCCATAATAGGATACGGCAAAAAATACACTTTGTCATAAACTATGCGTAGTATTTGCCATTGTTATTCATAATCATTTACGCAAATGTTTACTTAAATAAATATATTATACGTCATTTTGCTGTAAAAAAAATGACAATAGAAAATATGTTTTGACAAATAAAAAAGAACAAGCCGAAGTTATAGCACGTTTATTTTCATAAATATTAAAATAATGCTCATGTGATTATTTTAATATTTATTAAAGTTTATAAAAATAAATGCATGATCATGTGTTTTTTTTTTCCGTTTACTTTTCTGTTTCCCTAGAAAAGTGGACAAGTGGAAACTCACCCTAACTCTAACCGGTACCATATAATTATAAATGTTGCTTATATTTTTTGATTTTCTTGAAGACAATGCTTAAGCGTGTCCTCTAGGCCTAAGAAGAAACATCACTTGAAGAAGTTTTTTAAAACGTTTAAAAAATCAATGCTATGTTTATACCACCCACTTTAAAACATTTAAGTTTTAGAACTTAGTTTTTTATTTCTAAAAACTTATAGCTTTACTCAGCAATTTAAAGAACACTTTCCGATATTAAAAAAAAAAAAAAAAAATTAGTTTATGTATTTAATTAACCATTGTAAAAGTTGGATGTCTGACACCATTTTAGAGTGTTTATTTAAATGTCGCATTTTATTAGACAACACAAAAAAGAAAAAAGAAAACAATTATAAAAGAGTTTTAATATTGTTTAAATATATTATATTAAAGTATAATCTTTCTAAAGACTCCGATACATTAGTTAACAATACTTTTTTAATTCTCTATTACTGGATTAAAAACATTACATATAAGTGATTCATAGATATGTAACAAAAAATGTTACATTTGATAGGTTATGACATTTTGTGTATTGGGGGAAAAGAAGCAAGATGGCTTTTCATATGACAACTCAACAAAAAAAGTTTAAAAATGGGTAGCAACTACAATTATATCTTGTATATTAAAATACTAATCGCTAAAAAATGTTGACGTAATTTTACACGCAAAGTTTCTTAATTGCGTTTAAAAAAAAAAAAACACGGTTGTTTCGGTTATTGTTCATTAATGGTGTCCTTCGATTGGAAATTTTTTAGTGATATTTTTTTGTGACTCGTGTTTATTTTATGTTACTTTAGTCAGAATAATTAGTATTTTTTAAATTTTATAAAGTTGGGTACAGAAAGTACATAATAAGTCATCTTGGCCATGTAAGATGAACAGATGACAAATTTATGGATTTTACATTTTAATTTTTATTACAAAATTTTTCTACTTGTAAACTGGAAGAACATATAACCAATGAATCATTATGATAAAACAAGCATACTGACAAAGTGTTGTTGCTTCATGACTGATAGTTTTGCAACAACTCCGGATTTTCAGAACGTTTGCCAACTTGCCCCGTATTTCCTTACAGATCTTGTATCATCATTATATTTAATATATACAAATGGGTTCTAAACTTTATATGATCTTTTGGGCACTGAAATATAGTTTGATAAAATTTGAAATCTTATTGTAAATTATATATCACCTACCAAGAAGAAAAGATTTTAAAAATGCATTTTTTTTTGAATTTATTTACCAATATACATATAATTAAAATAGATACTATTCAATATTTTTAAATTAGTTATGTATCTTTATTTGCATTTTCATTCAAATCATACAGTTTGCTTCGGAAATATTTTTTATTTACTACAATAAAATACTACTTAGTAATACATAAGAGTAATAGAACATTAGGAAATTATTATGATATTTTTATTATCATTGTTATTAGTATTACTGATTATCTGGAAAGATTTATAAAAATTGTTTTTTTTGTTGAGCATCACTTAGTGTTTATAAAAAAATTGAGAGATAATTGGAGTATGACAAACTGTGACTCTGAAAAAATAATTTTATTTACTATCTGTTCCGTAAAAAATACGCATAATAAAATGATTCTCGATTTTATTTCTTTTAAAACGACTTTTTGTAACATTTTAAAAATTAGAAAGGTTCTATCAATGAAATAGTAAACAGTTACTAATAGTTTTATATCACCAATATCGAAATGTTTATTTTATAACATGCATATGAGAGTTTCAACATGCACATATTAAAATAACTTCTTTTATTGAATAACGCAATGCAATTAAAGTAAAAAGTTATGTGCTTGCAAATAAATTGTAAACCAATTAGAGTTATATTTAATAACTTTGATGCTAACCCAGCAGGCACACAGCGTTGTATTAACGCAGCGTTGTATTAGGTTCATAAGAGTTTTAAATTAAAAAAAAATCTTTAAAAACCTTGTTTTTTTTTTTCGGAATCAAACCTTCAGCGATTTAAATAAGACAAAACTGTCACACGAACCCCAGTCTTTTTTAGTATTGAGAGGAACCTTAATTGAATGCGTGTTACATTAAATATTTGTTGTATTATACATTATTACAACGTTAATATAATGTTGTTCGCCTGCTGGGAAACAGTTAAGAAATAATATATATATATATATATATATATATATATATATATATATATATATATATATATATATATATATATATATGAAGTCAAAGAAAAATATATATATATATTTTTCTTTGACTTCAAACATTTGATTTATTTATATTTGCTCTACAATATTTGCTCTCTTCTTTAATCGTCTCTTTATCTTTATTTTTTGGTCATCCTCAGTCAATTTATTCAACCATCTGCTGCAAACTCTTGGTAATGCTTCAGCTAAATAAATTATCATACAAGATTTACATCAACTTTAATGTTGTAATATTTGATGTTGCCGCTTACTCTTCCTCGAATCAACATTGACCAGTTGCTTTGAACTTCAATTTTGAAGTGCATCGAAAATCTAGTGGAACACTGTCACAGTATCTTTTACTTTTTCGCTCGATTTTTCGCAATGTGGTGTAAACCTTTGCAGTTGCAACACACTAAATGAATTTTTTTACCATAGCACCAATAGCATTACTGTCATTATTTTCACGCTGCTTAAAGCAGATCTTACTTTGGGTAACATGATATCAATCAGGTTTATTACAGCTCGGGCAATCCCGTGAGAAACGCTAAACGCACAGACAGACAGACAATTTAACAAGACAAGCCAATTTAAAAATTAAAAAAATTATCTCCGTCATATAGTTTTCGTTTCGTGAAAATCTCATATGCACGGTAAACATCCACAAAGAAAGTTGACAGAAACATCCGCTTGACCTCATTTGCATCTTCGACAGTTAAAACGTCATAAACAGAGTAGGCAGTTTTTCGAACAAGAATTGGAAAAGGTAGTTTTTTGCTTCTGCATTTTAGCAATCACTTTTGAAAAAAGAAAAAAGAAATTTTTGCAAACACCGTAAAAATTTGAAAAAAGTATATAGTAAATAAGCGAGCGCACAGTGGGCCAGAATTCACTTTTACTAGACAAAACTAATAACTCCTCATATAAATAAGATATAAAGATATATTTTTGCACTGTTCACTAATTTAAGGATTGTGGTGTCAATGGTGACATTAGTTTTATTTTTGAGTTGATAAATTGGTTAGCAACCACATATTTTATTAACCATAATAAAGATAAACAAGACAAAAGTAACAACTTTATTGAATTACTTCTACACTGTGTCAAAAAAATTTTCATCCACCTATCCTGTACATCTTTCAGACGTGATAACTTTACATTCAGCAAAGATATAAGCATAATTTCAACTTAATTATATCAGTTAACCATTCAAGAAGTATTGTATAAAAAGATTTTACAAAATAATGAATAGAAATTAAAATACAACATTTAAACATAAACAATGCCTGTTTTTGCGCCAAAAAAGTTTTCATCCACCCTGCACTCCAACCTCAATTTGTTATTAAATCAGTATTAAAGTATTATTTTTAAAATATAAATTAGATTTAGTAAGATTTTTGTATTTTTTTTTTTTTTTATATGAGTTTTTTATATTTTTTATTTTTGTTAGATTATTAATAAAAATGAGAGTTGCAGAGGAAATTAGATTGCTTATTGTTAGACTATGGAAAGAGGGAAAATCACAGCGAAATATAGGAAAAATAGTAAAGAAATCACGTGCAACTGTGCAGTCTATTATTAAGAAATACCAAACCACCAAAAAAATTGCTGATAAGCCACGTACAGGGCGTCCAAATAAAATTCAAGTATTGCATCGACGGGCTATATTAAGAACAGTCATCCAGAATCCTAAAATAAGTGCTCCAAAACTCGCTGGAATGCTGCAAAATGATTACAATTTAAAAGTGGACCCTGAAACTGTTAGAATAACCTTAAGAAGAGCTGGATACAATGGTAGAGTACCATTGAAAAAGCCCTATATCAGCAAAGTCAACAAAGCCAAACGACTACACTTTGCAAAACTTTATATCAATGAACCACAAACATTCTGGGAATCGGTCCTTTTCAGCGATGAATCAAAATTTAATGTGTTTTCATCAGATGGAAGAGTTAAAGTTTGGAGAAAACCAAATGAAGCATTTAAAAAACAAAACTTGTGTCCAACGGTGAAGCATGGCGGAGGAAGTGTTTTAGTGTGGGGGTGTATGAGTGCTTC